GACCAGTGTAGTGCTTGGCACTTAGTAATGTACCGTGGTTATGGCTGTATAGTGATTTTCGTATTACATATTATATGTCAAATGATCTGAAGTATATATCAAATGATTTTCGTATTATATGTATCAAGCTTTTTTGGCCTAACTAATTATCCATGGTGAATTTTATGCCTTATACTCTTAGTATAATATTTCTCACTCTGCCATGAGCTTATAGTTTTTTTACCACTTTCAGGTGGCATGTCGGGACCAGCGTGTGGAGTAGGCACAAAGCACTTTTATTGATGTATTTTTTTTAATGTAAAACTCGGCCTTTTTGGTCAATACCTTTTGTGATAAAAATAGAAGCTCCAATGATTATTTTAGTACCCTTATTTAAATATTTCTTCCGCTTGCGTTTATTAAATTGTTTAAAGATTTGGCCGGAGGTAACCTCGGTTACTGGCCATCACGATGCCTAACCCTTGGGTACGGGGAGCGGGTCGTGACAATCTAAACTCCTAGAAGATTAACCCTGCAAAATAGATCACTCAAGCAACCCAGACACCACTCGGATGTAGAACAGAAACTCCTTGTAATTCCGACTGTAAACAGAGTGCTCGAGTAACCAAAACACCGCTCAAGCAATCAAAACACCGTTCCCAAAAGTTCAATCTGCAAACACATGTTCCAGGAGAAATGAAAGACTGCTCGAGTGACCAACTCACCACTCGAGCGATCCCAAGAACAATAGACAAAATCTCTCTAGAAATACTAAGTCCCAACCTGTTCAAAATAAAACTCAAAACCACATTCTCAACTCATAATTGATAATATAGGACTAAAACAGACTATAACAATACCAATATACACAACTCAAAATCAAACAGTATAAAAGAATCAGGTTTTAACCCGGGCTGCTATAAGCACCCCCTCCTCTCTTTCTCTTCTCCTTTTCTTTTCTTTCTTTTTCCTTTACTCAACCGTGTGTGTAGGAATAGAGGGCTTGAAATGTTCAATGTAAGGGCAAATAAGTTGAGAAGTTTATTTTAATTAAGAATTTTTTATTTAATTATTCTTTACATGTTATCTTATTGGTGAAGTGTGTTCTCTTTCCTTACATTAGGGGTCGGCATAGGGTTAATCGACTAGCACAAACTGCCCTACCCTACCCTACCCTATCCGCACATTTTTTGGTGGTTTTGAGGGTTACGTATGAGCGGGTGTGGGTGTAGTTTTGGCTTACTTTGCAGGTTGTAGGCGGGTTGCGGTTTATGCCGCACAAATCCGACCCATGTACACAACCGATTAAATTTTTTATTTTATTTTATTTTATTCTTACCTTAGCACAAGCAAAGGGCCAAGAGTCACTTTTGTTTTGTTTTTTGTTTTGTTTTTTTTTTTTTGTTCTTACCCTAAAGCAAGCAACACAGTAGCAAAAGCAATCTAAGAGTCACTTTTTCATTCTTCTCTCTCTTTCTCGGCAAAGTAGTAGCAGTTCAGCGCAGCAACAAAGCAGGCAGTATTTATATATATACATATTGATGTTGACTCTATTTTTCTTGAAAGCAAAGATTCAGCTCATCAAATAATATTATAACATTATATATATATGCATGTTTTGGCCTATTAAAATAGAATATATGATAGTAAACAAGTTAAAAAAAAAAGGCCCAAAAAGCATGAAAGAAAGTACAAGCCCAACCCGTTCAACCGATTCGCATTCACCCACATAACCGATTAGCTCACTCACACAAACCGCAACCCGCGATTTGGGTAGCTGCAGGTGCATTTTTCATGACCCGCACCAATGCAGGTCTGGTGAAAATCGACTCGCATCAGCGCAAAACCAGCCCATGAGTAGCCTTACTATTTTGAAATATTAGAATTTGAATAAAAGTTTGAACATACACATATTTTTAATAAAAATATATTAAAAATACATATAGGTATTTAAATTGTTTTTTTCATATGAAAAATATGTGAAATTAAAATTTGAATAAAAATTTAAAAATATATATTGGCATTTGAAGGGTACTATGGTATTTTACAATGTGATTGAAGGATAGCAAGTTGTAACGCCCTCAAAATAATAACATTAAACCCATCAAATAAGACATTCGTTGACATATGAAATAACCACATTCTTTTATTCATCAGAGTTTCATTACAAAAGTATTACATGTTAACAACAAAAGCAAAATGCCTACAGGCTTACAGCTTTCCAAGTTAACACTTGATTACAACAAAAGAGTACTAACTCGTTTACACATTAAGCCCTTGGCTTGAATTTACATGTAATACATCAAAAATAAAACGACAAAAGTATGCCCGCCTCTAGCCTTCCAAGCTATGTCCTTGGAGGTGGCATGCTACCTGTACCTGAAAATGATATTCCCATATAGGGTGAGCCACAGGCCAGTAGAGATACACTAAACCAACCATGAATAATGACTAAAAGATTAGCAATTTATAGATGGCCAACGCTGATACATTCACATAAATCACATATTTATGTCATACGACTTATGAGTCCAAGTTACTTTTCATTTTCCCTTTTTCAACAGATAAGCATGTTAGCTCTATCATTATTTCAACAGATATGTATAAAAACTATATCCCACATTCACAGATAAGCATATAAGCTATACACATACTTCACAAAGATAAGCAATGAGCTCTATCTTCACTTCTCTAGACAAGCATATGAGCTGTATCTACGGAGTTCATCCCCTATCTTCTCCCAACACTATCCGGTTTAGAGGTACTCCCCTAAATCGCGGAGTATATCCCCCATCTCCTCCTCTACACGTAACGTATACAAACACATTGGTTCTATATACAATCACTCAATACATACTGTTAATGTATTCTATCAACCGTCAAATTCCATGGCACATTCCATTGATTAGTTTCCGTTTGCCTAATCATCATGCATTGTCTACAACAATCACGACTATCCTCCACCGATAGCCCAAAGCAGTTATTTCTAAACAGAAAATAAATGCACAATGGATATTTAATCAACATTTCATTCCGGTGAGTGACAAATAATTCAACTACACCCTTTAACCCCATACATTCCCACTCTCAACAATTCCATTTCATTACCTCGTTTCTCACAATTAATTATCCCAATTAATCAAACAATGTAATTAGGTCATTTTCCCTAATTAACATTTCAACCCTTAGGTCCCACTTTCATCAATGATTCAACATTTATTCCATTTCTCTATGCCAAACATGTATCTAGGTTTATTATGAGTAAAACCCCAAACTTTCACCAAATTACCAAACCGACCCCAACATCTCAAAATACTAAAATTTAAAGACAAAATCCATAGAGAGGAGTAGGATATCCCTACCTCGAAGTTTGAGCCAAAAAGGAGATGAAGACTCGAAGATCAACGTGCTCCAAATCCAAACTTTTTCAGATTAAGTCGAAGCTCTCAACGCCCTCTATCTTTTTAACAAAGGCCCTAGGCTAGATTCACACTCTAGGGAGATCAAATCTTAGAGAGAGTGTAGGTTTAGAGAGAGAGAGTCTCGGATCTCGGGTTTGAAAGAAAAAGAAAGTGAAAAACTGATGTTCAAAAACGCTACTGACCGCTGATAGAAAACACGCTCGCTCGAGCGAAGCCTTTGTCGCTCGAGCGACCAGACACAGAAAACTCTCGCTCGAGCCAAGAAGTTCTCGCTCGAGCCGAAAAGCTAGAAGTGCGCTCGAGCGAAAGAATGCTCGCTCGAGCTAACAACTCAAACCCTCAGGTCTGCCACCAGCACGCTCGAGCGACGGACTTCTCGCTCGAGCGAAGAACAAACCAGACCGCTTGAGCGAAGAAAGCTCGCTCGAGCCAAGAAATGCAACTCTCAGGTCCAGAACCAGACGCAATCGCTCGCTCGAGCGAAGCCACTCTGGCTCGATCCACCAGACACGAACTCAACTCTCGCTCGAGCGACCAACTCCTCGCTCGAGCGAAGGTCCAAAAATCTGGGCAACAGCACTAGGCTCCTAAACACAACCAACTTGTAACAAACCTGCCCAACACATCCTATAACTCAATATACAAAGTAAAAAGGATGCAAACAAGATAATAAACAACTACCAACATCCACGGACACATGTCCGGATCACTGTACAACAAGGGTAAACCCGGGATCGCTATACAAGTTAACATCGTTTGGGCGCTTTTAACAAGAGGGGAATCTTTGATACTCCATTCGTCTTAAAATATTTGTCTTTTTTGGAGAATTTAATTTTTTTTTGATAATACAATTATTACACTTCAAAAATATTTATGTTAATGAATTTTAAAAAAAGAGCAAACTAGAAAATTTATGTTATTTTAATCCTTAATTTTTGAAAAAATTCTAATATTTTTGAGATAATAAAAAATAGAATAAGAAATTAATATTTTGAAAAAAAAAGTATTATGTTGACAAGTAAAAGAAGTCAACGTAATTGTTGAAACTACAAAAATTATACTTCCTCTGTCTCAAAATATTAGTCTTTTATATTATATTTTTCATTGTCCCGAAATATTGGTCTTTTTTCAAAAATCAAGTATAAAAATAATATAAATTTTCTATATTGCCATTCTTTTAAATTCATTAACAACATAAAAAGTATAATTATGACATTGATATTTCCTAAAAAATGTACTATCAAAAGAAAATTTTCAAAAATTAGTTTTTTTAAAATACAGTAATTGTACTACTAAAAAAAGTTAAATTCTCAAAAGGAACCATTATTTTGAGATGAAAGGAATATTTATAATTATGATAAATCTCAGGGAGCTAAGTGTAATTTATTCTTTCACATATGACTAGAGAAGCTAGTAAAAACGACAATGCTAGGTAGCTCAAATTTTTGTGACTCAAATGGCTCAAATCTGTTAAAACGACGTCGTTTTGACAAATTTTAAGTGTAAAACGACATCGTTTTAATAGATTTAAGCCATTTAAACCACAAAAATTTGAGTTTTCAAACATTTTCCTAGTAAAAATTACCAAGTCATATATACATACGGATATGGGCATTTTAAAATTGAGAGAGAGAGAGAGAGAGAGAGGAGGTGAGAGCGAGCGCATAGTAACAGTCGCCATGGCGATGACACTGGTGAAGCCCAACTCTTTCCAGCTGTTAGAATCGAAGAAACCCAGAAATCAAAACCACCCATTTTTCAATTCAAGCTTTGGCCAACGTCGATCTATCATTCCAATCTTCAAGTCTTCCTACAATCCCAGCTTTAGTTCTTCTTATTCGTCTCCATCATCATCATCACTTGAAACTCTGGACGAAGCTCGAAGATTGGTCTACCAATTCGACCCCAAAATTCCCCTTGAAGAAGCCCTGACACCACCCAGTTCCTGGTACACCCAACCTTCTTTTCTCTCTCTTGAATTCGATCGTGTCTTCTTCCGAGGTTGGCAGGCCGTCGGTATATACAACCCCTCTCTCTCTCTCTCTCTCTCTCTCTACCCCTCTTTTTATATATATATATATTCATTATTATGCTCCTTTGCTTGCCTAAAAAGTGAATGAATTTCATTTACTCCAACTTAGGGGTATTAGAGCATCTCCAATGTGGTGCCAAATCATGGGTAGCTGATGATGTAATCAGATTCGGTGGTAGTATCAACTAGTGTTATGATATTATTATTGACCATATTTATTATGCAAGTTATAAACACTCAAAACTATATAAATGATGTCCCGTACTCTGGTGTGTATATTAATTGGTATATATAACATTATTCAATCAGATTTGAATGTATTTAATGCTTCAACAAAAGCGTTGAAACCGAATTCGGCATTTGGCATCCTTTCCTCACCTTCAAATTTGACATAGGGTCATCAACCTTCACAGCTCATAATTTTTGGTTTGTTTATTAACTTTGTGTTTGGTTGAGTGTTTTGAGAAGGAATTGGAAAATTAGGTACCTAATTTTCTCTTTTTGTTTCTAAATCCCTTCTCAAATTCCTAACCAAATACAACGCAATGGAATCCACTTTTGAGAGAGTTTTGCTGGAGAGATAAAGAAAATTAATAATAATAAATTTGACATTTTAGTTGTAGTGCCTTTTTAAGATATGTCAAATTTGATGATGTCAAAATGTCACCTAAATCTTCAAATAAGAAAAGATAAATGTCACTTATGGTCAGTTTTATGTCACCACTTTGTTTCATTTCTTAGTTGTATTGATGCAATAAAACTCATATGCATATGTATAACTCACCAGATTTCATAAATGGTGAGAGTTTTGGAGAAAGGTTTCGAAAAGCGGTTGCGGTGACGCAGTTGTGGAGTATAAAGGCCGTAGTGTAACGGTTGCGGTAACCGGTACCGTGATTTTTTTTTTTATTTTTCGCACAATTTGAAGAAAATTTACCGATACGCATATTTTTATTATTTTTTCTTTCTAGAATCACATTTATTAGGGTTTAAAATAGATTTTGATCAATTTTTGTTAATTTTTAAGTATGATCCAATATATTTCATATTTTCAAATCACTATAAGAAGAACTTTTTACATTTTATTTCAATAGTTAATGACTTTAAGAATAATTAATTTTATTCATTCTTTAGTAAAAATTATTTTTGAGACATTTTTTTAGATAACATTTTAGAGGTAACTAAATAAAATTATTATAATTAAGTATTAAATAAAATGATTATAAAAATAAAAATTGTGCCATAAACAAAAAATATTTTTGAGTTTTTTAAAGACATTTTTTAAACACATTACAGTAACAAAATAAAAAATATTTATAATTAAATATTAAATAAAATGATTATAAAAATAAATACAACTATGGTTTATATATTTTTTATTTTACATGCTAATGTAATGAAATAAAAATTAAAAAAAATTATAAAGAAAATAAATTCATATAAGATTTTTTCTTTGAACTTGGATCACTTGAGACTCAAGTCTTTAGAATTTGTTCTTTTTTTTGTAAGCTTTTATTTATTTTTATTTTTTTGGGGAAAAGAAGTTATTCAGAATATTATAAAAGGTGTAACGGTGTCTAACGGACTGTTATGACCGTTACGGTATCATTACGGCCATTACGTAACACCAAAACGGCCATTACACATGTGAATTTCCATCACACCGCTATAGCGGTCGTAACGGATGGCGGTAACCAGCATAACCATTACGTAACGGCGTTACGTAACGGTTGTGACCGCTTTTTAAAACCTTCGGTGAACTATTTTGGTGATATATAATACCTCTTAAATAAAACAAGAAAACAAAAGATAACGAATGATTCAAAAGTTCCTTTTCTTTTCTTTCCTCAGAGCAACCAAAATGAGTATTATGAAGACCTTTAGGCTGTGTTTGGATCATGGAAGGGTAAGTAAAAGGAAATAGTGAGAGTAATGTAAATGAAATATAAGTTAGTTTTTATTCTCCATTTTTCTCACTTTCTTTTTTCGTTTTACAAATTTCTACTCAAATTCATGATCCAAATGCATTGTTAAGGTAATCAGTACTTTATGCCGCATTGCATGAAATTTGAATTACAATTTCATCCATGGGTATGGCATAGATTGTTGTTTTTTTGCTTGTTACTTGTTAATGAGACCCTTGATCATTAATAGCTTTTCTTGGTTGTTATTGTTAGGATGTACTGAACAGATTAAAGAATCTGGTAACTTTTTCACTGGCAGGTATTGTTATGAATGTGTTGTAATTCTCTATTTATTATATATGCATGTATCCTTGTATACATGTGATTGTATTTTGATTTAGAATGTATGGATAATCCGTGAAGTGTTCCAGGTTGGGAAATGTAGAGTATGTGGTATGCAGGGATGATAATGGGAATGTTCATGCATTTCACAATGTCTGCCGCCATCATGCGTCGCTTCTCGCCTCTGGAAGTGGGCTATTATCTTGCTTTGTGTGCCCCTATCATGTGAGTTCGTAAATACCACCTCATGTAGAGTATCTACTCTTAGTTTATTTTGAAATTTTCATTATTTACTTCGTGTGGATTATTTGTTCTAGTTAACAAATAGTATTCAGGTTGAGGATGGGAGCATTATCCACAAACATTGTTATTTAAGATCTTGAACCAAATTAAGATAATGCATATTAGTCCTTACTGGGGGAAAAAAATCATGCCCTACTTGGGATGAAGAAATGCCAACGAAGAGATTACCAAAGTGATGACTGAAGCACCATAGATGTCCTTCTGCCCTTGCAAAACAAAGCACCATGAGTGCCACCCAGTCAGTGACTCAGTGTCTGAGTGTGGGCACCCTGATACTAAGTCAGCATAATAGTAGAGAGAATATTGTTACTCTTGTGAGTATTGTAGTGCATATCATTGGAACCTCATAGATTGATGTGTATTTATAGTGTTAAGTGTCCTTGATTATATTTAACCCTTTTCTAGTCCAGATTGAGTTAGGGCGGTTGAGTTCTATCTTACCTCTATTCTTATAAGCCATAAACTTCTTTGCTGATATGGTATATTTATGTTAGGAGTTAGTCTCATTCTTTGGTATGGCTCATTGACTGTGGGTGTTGACTTGTCTTGCCATGCCATGTGGCATAGTTTGGACTCACTCATTCCACCTAGACACTGTAGGCCATTTGGTAATGAAGAGTAGCTGCATAAGTAGTGGATATCTCTGGGATTCCACAAATTTGAACTTCAACCTTGAGCGCTGAAATACGGTGTGGATCTACTAATGGCATGTTGAAATTTGGATAGAAAGTCGTATGGTGCCAGAGTTGAGAGTGGTCTGAACTGTAGCAATACAAGCTTGCTGATGGTTTGAAATCTGGTATCCATTAGGGCAACTCGTGAGATAATTGGGAGTCCTTTTCTGCTATGAAATGTAAGAGCAAGATGTAGCCTTGTTGTTTCTAGTGCCGAGGAAGATCATCTGGAATTTGCAAAGTAATTAACTGCTCGGCCTCAGTAGCTGGGATGAGACATTGATCAAGATGGGAAGTTTGGACATAATCCTTGACAGTCAAGGGCTGCAGAGAAAAGTCGGCAAACTGTTTTAGTGACCGAAAAAAGATGAAGATTTTGAGAAGCTTTGGTAAGGGTTTAACAAGGGAAGGCTAGCGACAGGAATTTTGTTGTCCTCACTCAAGTATTCAAACTCATACAAATATTCGAGAGAGTTGGTAGAAGAAAGAGAGTGAGATGAGGAAGAAGAACTGAGAGACTTGTGACTGGAGAGTAGACTCATAAGAGGCAGAAAAGAGGTCTCTGAATGGTGGTGCTTGATGATTTTATCAAGTGTCCTTACCAAATAATGGAATGGTGGGAATCTTCTATTTTTTAGGGATTAGCGGAGATATTATCTTATAATATATCCCAGAAGATCATATCCCTATTTAGTAGGGGTTGGTTATTAACCATTATTCTTAATTGAGCTACCATTTTGGGATGTGGCCTAGTGGTTATGACACATGGCACTCACATGTTGCATTTGGAGCTACACCCATTGAAGATCCAATGGACAAGGATTGGTGGCAACATCAGATCACTTCAGCTGTTAACAGATTTGGAATGCAGGTGATAATTGGGTGTCCAGACATTTTAATGAGACACTTGGCACATTGTTTAGCTACCCACTAGCTGAAGGTAGTTGACAAAGTAGGGGAAGTGGCTCTAACGGTTGTTGACAAAAATAGAAATAAAGATGAAGATAGAGCAAAGCTTGATTGGTAAAAGATACTCAAGACTTATCATTTTCAGTATCTCGAGTCAATTATTCATAAAGATGGAGAGGTTGTGTAAAATATGATACATAGAATTATAGCAGGATGGATGAAGGGGAAAATTTGTGGGATTTCTATAAGACCCAATCACGAGTATGGAATGATGGATGATTTAGTAAAAAATATGTTCAAAAAATGTCTAAAATGAAAATGTTGAGGTGGATGAGTAGTGTAACAAGAAAAGATTAAAAAATAAGAACGAATCCATTAGGAAGAGCTTAATAGTGGCACTAATTGAGGATAAAATGATGGAAAATCATTTGAGATGATATAGCCATGTGCATTATAAATCAATTAATGTGATTGTAAGGACGAGTGATTAGATTCACGTGGAGGGTGGTAAAAGAAATAGAGAAAGGCCAATCAGAATATGGGTTGAGGGGATAAGAATGACATAATTATCTTAAACTTAACTGAATATATGATTTTCAATAGAATTAACTGGAGGTTATGGATCCATGTAGCCAACCCCAAGTGATTGGACAAGGGCTTTGTTTTGTTGAGTTGAGTTGAGGGAGTAAATGGATTAACAATTTCTCTCTCTCTCTCTCTCTCTCTCTCTCTCTCAAGTAAAGGTATCACAACCAAATGGGATCTTCCTCACCGAAGCAATACTCCCTTTTTCCCAAGTTGTGAGGCTACCTAAATTATTTTTTTTTATCAACAACAAAGAATTTTATTAATGACCGAAAAGAAATGAGAATAAGGCATCCTCTACACAGAAGATAAAAAAAGAAAGAAAATACATAACCCAAGCAAGATTACATCAAAATCCTTCTACATGTAACACATCGACAACCAATCTCTTGCTACCAAAAAAAGCGGAATCCCTCTAAAAAGAGGATTCTCTAAAGCCCAAAAGGAGGTGAGTGACAAAATTTATCCCACAAAAATTCCACATCTCGAAATTTATCTTCGAAAATCCGTGTGTTTCTTTCCAACCAAATGACCCAAAAAGTTGCAAAGACGGCACAATACCAAAGCACTTTGGCCCTCTTCGATCCACCCAAAGCTCGAAAGTCGATTAGCATCATATGCGCACTACCTTTTGGAGCCATCCACATAACATTCTTCAAAAGAAACAATCTATGCTATAAACCCAAAGCAACTAGAGAATGCAAAAATAAATGATCCAAAGATTCACTATCCTTACAACACATGATGCACCATTGAGGATTTAGAAAACTATTCTCCTTTTTTGCAATGTATCATTTGTCAATATGCCTTCATGAACCAAGGACCACACGAACACCTTCACCTTAAGAGGAGTACAAGCCTTCCAAATTCTTTTATTAAAAGGAAACCGAGAAACTTGAGGATTATCAATGATTTTGTCAAAAAAAGATTAGCAAGAAAAAATATCCGATGAATGAAGAGCCTCAAACCTTTTGTCATCCAAAAGAGGAATCAAAGAAAGATGATCAAGTCCTGACAACAAAGACATCAACTCTTCAGCTTCCCCATCATTAAGATTCCTGAAAACATTAAAATTCCAAGAAATTGGAGCCAAAAGGGAACAAGCTATGGAAGCAATAGAACAATTATGAGACAAAGCCACTCTATTAAATGTGGAAAATTTGAAGCAAAGGAAGAGAAGCCCACCCAAACATCTTTCCAGAATCTAACATGTTCCCCATTACCCACTCTCACAGAAAGATAGCGAGACCAAGGTGGATAGATATGAGAAATTGACGTCTAAAGAGCATGAATCCTTACCATTAACCTGAGTCCCATACTTGCTTCTAATAACATAATGCCATAGTGAATCACACTCATTTGGAAATCTCCAAAATCACTTGCCAAGTAGAGCCATGTTTCTAGCCATAATGTTACTAATGGCCAAACCCCCCTTCTCCTTTGGGAAGGATACTATCTCCTAGTTCACTAGATGATCCTTCTTACCCTCATCCTTAAGGCCCAAAGGAAATCCCTCATCAACTTTTCTAATGACCTTGCAACCTTAACTAGAATTTTAAACAAAGATAAAAATAAATGGGAATACCACTTAAAGCTGTCTTGACCAAAGTATATCTACCCCCACGTGAGAGTAAAGCCTTGCTCCACCCTTCCAACATCTTGCTGATCTTTTCCACTACTAGATCCCAAAAAGATTTATTCCTAGGATTACCCCCAGTGGAAATGTAAGAACCTGAATTTTTAGACAGCTAATTAATTTATTTACGATAATATTAAGTCATTTAATAGTGGTAATTAAATTATTAAATTCTAATGTTAGTAGCATCATGATTAATACTGATATTAAACTCTTTTAAATAAATTTATTTATCCTTTCTGTGTTAAATTTTTGTATCTAATACAGCTATGAAAACTAAATGGATTAAATAAATAATAAATAAGTTAGAGTTTAGTAGGAAGAAAACCATCTAGTTAATAGGTTATATATATACTAATATTATATTGCCATCAATTTCAATTCAATTCAATTCAATTCAAAAAAAAGAAAAAAGAAAAAAGAAAAAAAAAAAGTCAATACTTGCAAGAAAAGTGGCCGGCTGCCCCTTCTTTTCCCTAGGTTGCTCTGCTGCATGCAAGGCATGCTTGTTTTCCAATTGCACACTCAACTTCCCTAGAGAAGGAAGCATGGCATATGATGTCATTTCCAAGCAAATAGAAATTTTTGCTAAAGAGAGAAAAGATTTAAATAAAATAAAAAGTTGTTGCTCCCATATTCCCTACATAAGGGACTTCACCATCAGCCATAATGCATACACATGGCTGAGAAAGAAAAGAAAGAGCGGAGAGAAAGAGGGAGTGGAGGAAGAAGGAAAGAAAAAGAGGTCTCAACACTTGCATTTTTTTAGCTTCTTGAGGTAGGAATACTTCAGCCATACCCATCTTTAGATATATTATTTGGCACTGAAAATATATATTTGTTATCAGTTAAAAAGATGATTTAAATATAGAAGCATGCTAGGTTTGATTTAGGCTTGAAAGAGAATCACCATTTTGAAGTTGAGTTGTTATACTTTTCATAAATCATATTCTCTTCAAATAAATTCTTACTTCTTTGGTAGAGTATCATATTCATTATATTATATAGCATATTATTTCAGTGTTACTTATATGGCATTGCATGTAAAGAAAAATCGAATTGAATCTCATATCCTTGTTCAAAAAAATTAATTTCCAGCATTGTCAAGATTTTTATAT